ATGCTGTATAATAGTTTTTCAAAACTTGTTTATTTTTGCATAACTGAAACTTGTTTTCCTATCACCTTCCCATCCCCCTCCTCCCAGTCCCTGGCAGCCATCATTCTGCTCTCTGCTTCTGTAACTTTGAGTACTTTTTTTTAATTAAAAAAAGATTTTTTTTTTTTTTTTTTTTTTTTTTTTAAGAAACAAGATCTTGCTCTGCTGCCCAGGCTGGAGTGTAGTGACATGATCATAGCTCACTGCAGCATTGAAATCCTGGGGTCAAGCAATTGTTGCACCTCATCCTCTTGAGTAGTTGGGGCTATGGGAGCAGCCAGCATGCTTGGAGAGTTTGACATTTTAGAAGAAGGAATGAAACAATAAAGATCAAAATGAAATCCCAACTACTTGGGAGGCTGAGGCAGGAGAGTTGCTTGAAGCTGGGAGGTGGAGGTTGCAATGAGCTGAGATCATGCCACTGCACTCCAGCCTGGGAGACAGAGCAAGACTCAATGTCAAAAAAAAAAAAAAAAAAAAAAGCCATTTTAGCAAATGTGAAGTAATCAAAATCAATGTGGTTTTGATTTGCATTTCTCTGATGATTAGTAATATTGAGCACTTTTTCACTTACTTGGCCATACTTTATGTCTTCTTTGAAAAAATATCTATTCAGGTCTTTTGCCCATTAACATTTTTTTTTCTTTTGGGGGGTATTTTTTTGGTATTTAGTTGTATGAGTTTCTTGTATATTTTGGATATTAACCCCTTATCAGATGTACATTTTTTTCCCCCTACTATAGGTTGCCTTTTCTTTTCTATTTTTTTTTTTTTGAGGTGGGGTGTCACTCTGTCACCTGGCTGGAGTTCAGTGGCATGACTTTTGCTCACTGTAGCCTCTGCCTCTGGGCTCAAGTGATTCTCATGCCTCAGCCTCCTGAGTAGCTGGGATTACAGGTGCCTACCACCATGCCTGGCTAATTTTTGTATTTTGAGTAGAGACAGGGTTTTGTCATGTTGGTCAGTCTGGTCTCGAACTTCTGACCTCAGGTGATCCACATGCCTCGGCCTCCCAAAGCGCTGGAATTACAGGTGTGAGCCACCATGCTCAGCCAGTTTTGTCAATTTTGTTTTAATTTTTCAAGAAACAGTCTCAGTTTTATTGATCTTTTCTATTTTTTTAAGTCTCTATTTCATTTTGATCTTTATTATTTCATTCCTTCTTTTAACTTTGGGCTTAGTTTGTTCCCTTTTTTCTAGTTTGTTGCTGTATAAACTTAGGTTGTTTACTTGAGAGCTTTCTTTTTTCTTAATGTAGGCATTTATCACTATAAAATTCTCTCTTAAAACTACTTTTGCTGAATATGAAATTTTAATGTGTTGTATTCTATTGTCATGTATCTCGAGATTTTAAAAAGTTTCTTTTGATTTTATTTAGCCCATTGGCTGTTCGGGAGTGTGTTACTGAATTTCCACATATTTGTGAAATTTTTAATTCTCCTCTCGTTATTGATTTCCAGTTGCATATCATTGTGGTCAGAAAAGCTATTTAATATAATTTCAGTCTCTTAAATTTGTTGAGGCTTGTTTTGTGGCCTACTGTATGTTCTACCCTGAAGAATACTCCATGTGCACTTGAGAAGAATGTATATTCTCCTATAGTTGGATAGAAAGTTCTATATATGTCTGTTAAATCCATTTGTTCTCTAATATTGTTCAGACTGCTGCTTCCTTATTGATTTTTTGTCTGGATGATCTGTTCATTGTTGAAATCAGGGTATTCAAATCCCCTACTATTATTGTATGGTTATCTATTTCATCTTTCAGTTTGGTTAATATTTGCTTTATGTATTTAGGTACTTTGATGTTGGGTGCCTACATGTTTACAACTGTTACATCATCATTGATGAATTCACTCCCTTGTCACCACACAGCTACCTTCTTGGTCTCTTGTGACTGTTTTTTACTGGAAGCCTATTCTGATAGAAGTATAATCATCCCTGCTCTCTTTTGGTTTACGTTTGCGTGAAATATTTTTTTCCATCCCTTCACTTCCAGTCTGTCTGTCCTTAAATCTAAAGTGACTCTCTTTCAGGCAGCAAATAATTGTATCTTATTTTTTTAATATAGATTCTGTCATTATATGCCTTTTATTTATATTTATTTTTTAGACGGAGTCTTGCTCTGTCACCCAGGCTGGAGTACAGTGGCGCCATCTCGGCTCACTGCAACCTCCGCCTCCGGGGTTCAAGCAATTCTCATGCTTCAGCCTCCTGAGTAGGTGTGGTTACAGGTGCCTGCCACCTTGCACATCTAATTTTTTTTGTATTTTTAGTAGAGACGGGGCTTCACCGTGTTGGCTAGGCCTGACCTCAAGTGATTGACTGCCTTGGCTTCCCAAAGTGCCAGGATTACATGTGTGAGCCACTGTGCCCAGCCTCTATGTCTTTTAATTGAAGAATTTAATACATTTACATTTAAAGTAATTATTGATAGATAGAGACCATGCCATTTTGTTCATTATTTTCTGTCTGTTTGGTAGTTCTTTCATTCTTTTCTTCTCTTGGTGTGCTGAGCTGCTTTTTAAGCAGATGACCGCCACTGAGTCTGTTTTGAGTCGGAATTTTTTGGTCCCCCAAATTCCAGAGGTTTGGGGTTCTGAATACTTGAGACTTTCTGGAGCTGCTTTGATGAGTTGCTTCTTAGATTTCCCTACTGGCAGATAAAGAGTCAGCTTTCTAGGTCTGTTAAGCCATTACCTCTAGTCCATCTACTTTCTAGCTTCTACATTTTTGTTGATTCCATTACCTGATCTTTGTCCTTGTGAGTTTATGTCTAATAGAAATAAAACATTCTTCGTTATTAGTGAGATTTTGGGAGTCAGCAGAACTGCATGTACATGTTGAGCATGCCATCTTTATTCTGAAGTCTGAAAGACATTTTAGAAAGCTTTTAATGCAAAAGCATCCAAAAAAGGTTTTGTTGCTTTAAGCAGACTATGAAAAATGGTATTGTCCTAATTTCCCTTGCTATTCAAAGTATAGTTCCAGAGTTAGGAATGTCAGTATTACCTGGGTGCTTACTAGAAATATAGACTCCTGGTCCCCCTACAGGAATATTGAATCAAAACTGGCATTTTGAAAGATCTCCAGGAGATTCCTATGTATGCTAAGGGTTGAGAATTGCTAATAAGAACTTGTAATTAAAGGAAGTTAAGTCTAATGAATTTTAATCAAGGATTTAAAAATCTTGATACATTTTCTTACTAAATTATTCTCAAAATTCTAGATGTTGCTGTGAGATATAAAAGAGAAAGGGGTGCATTTTCATGAGTTTTCATCAGGTATGAAACAAAAATTCCATTTTATTCAGCATGAGAACAGGTATCAGACTGGTTTTCTTAGTTGCTCACTGTTCTTGAGGTTGGTGGTGGTATTTTTAGATTGAACAGATTGAGTCTTCAGTCACACTTTGAGCTGCCAGAATGAAAGTGTAGCTTCTCCTAGAGGCAGGTGATAGATTGATTAGTTACATGTCCAATATTTTACCTAATAATTAGTAAGTGCTCAATAAGTGATTGTGGGGTGAATGAATAAAAAACAAGATACAACCCCTGTCTTCAAGATTGTCACATACCAACAATAAAGGTCAAGAAATACAGTGAATAATTAGCATACAAGTGTGACCAGTTCTAGAAACAGGAAGCATAGGAAAGGTGCATTTGGCTCAGCATTGCTGGCACAAGGAGTCAAGGAGCTGAGTCTCTTGGTGAACAGAGCTTGGTGGATTTAGAGCAGCAACTCTCACACTTTAGTGTGTAGCAGAATCACCTGGAGTGCTTGTTGAACCAGAGACAGCTGTGCCCTATATTCAGAATTTCTGACTCAATGGGGTGGGCCCAAGAATGTGCAATTCTAATAAGTTCCTAGAAGATGCTGATAATACTGGTCTTGGAGCCACAGTTTGAGAACCACTTAACTTAGAGAATTACGAAGTGTTCTGGTGGCTGCACTCTAGCAGCTTATAGGCAGGAGGCAGGTGATACTGAAAGCAGAAGCCTAAAGAGTAGGGATTTTATTGTGGAGACTGAGGGAAGCCATTGACAGGAGAGTGATGGACTCTCATTTGCCTTTTGGTAAGATCACTTTGGGTGTGGCATGGAGGAGAGATCAGAGGCAAGAATACATGGGGACCAGAAAACCAAATAAGTAGTTTAATTACAGCCATCCAAGAAATAATACGAACTTGGAGTAAGGGCGAGGCAATGAATATCCTTAGGACTTGTTGGCCAGTTGGAAGTGGGAGGGGCAGAGAGGGAGGAGTTAATGAGAAGCGTCAGATTTCTGGCTGTGTGTTTTGGGATTGTGTGATTCAAGACACAGGAAGAAAAGTGGGTTTGAAGCAAGGTTATGGAGAAAAGCAAAGTAGGTAAGTTGAGTATAGGACATGTTGGATTTGAGGTGCCTGCAAGATATCTGGGTGGACTCCATTGTAGGCAGTTTTACTTAAGGAATTGGAGGCCAGCCGCAAGGTCTGGTAAGTAATTTAGCCCCATCCCTCCTGCCACTTCCATTTGATCTTCCATATTGTTTGTTTGGATCAGGCATTGGATTTGTAAGCAACAATGTGAATATCACCTTTAAGGGCCTTGAGAACACAATACTTTTCAAAATGTTTTCTCAAGAAAACAAATGTTCTACTTTTTTGATTCATGGCGTAAGTGGGAGGAAGAAAGAGTTGAAGTACTAGTCTTCTAACACCAGAAGAAGTTAATAAAGCCTCCCTCTGTCTGAGAGGCCAGTCGAATTGGAACCTGGTAAGCTTGAAAGGGGCAAAAATCACTTGACTGGTCTGTAGTGCCATATGACGAACAGCTGAGACTAATTAGCTGGATTGTGGGTTTTTACAGCGATGCCTGTTTTGAAAGTTGATGGAGCGAACTGCTTTTCAAAAGGCTCTTTTGAAAAACTTTTGTAAGTAGGCCATTCTGACTTTAATATTTTTCTTTGTCTTAACGTTAGATAAAAAGTAACCTTCCTGAAGAGGACATGTGATTGGAAGTTGTCAATTGTTGAAGTCTTGGTAACTCCAGTCTCTAACGTTTTAGAAAATAACAAGCGTTTCTCTACCCTCTCAAGGTATGGTTTTGTATTTATCTTTTCTTTTCTTTTGGTAGTGGTTTTGAGCTCTGTCATGTCAATTTTCATGTGCTTAAATTACGTGCAATTTAACATAAAATACCATTGCACATATTATTTTTAAACTAAAGACTTCACGATGTCTGCTGAATTTCTTGGGATTAGTTTGAAAAGTGTGTTTTCGGTGACCAACGAGTGAGTATGCATACTGACTGCATTCTTCCTTTCTTTTCTGTACTCGAATAAAGTAATGTAGGTTTTTATTTTCAGGTAATATGTTGAATATGAGAGCTAATTAAGACATTGACTTATTCTGAGAGTCTTGCTTATCCTCTGAGGGTTGTTTGACAAAAATTTAAGCTTATTGGTGTTTTGTTTTTGATGGTGTTAATAGCTTTTTTTTTGAGACAGAGTCTCACTCTGTCACCGAAGCTGGAGTGCAGTGGCACAATCTCGGGTTACCGCAACCTCTGCCTCCCAGGATCAAGAGAGTCTCCTTCTTCAGCGTCCTGAGTAGCTGGGACCCCGCGCTATCATGCCTGGCTAATTTTTGTATTTTTAGTAGAGACAGGGTTTCACCATCTTGGCCAGGGTGGTCTAGAACTCCTGACTTCAAGTGATTCACCTGCCTTGGCCTCCCAAAGTGCTAGGATTACAGGCATGAGCCACTGCACCTGGCCTAATAGTGTTAGTAGTTTTAGTGGAGGACTGTAAATGTGTATTTTAGTATAAGGTTTATTTCTTCTAGAAATTAAATCTTTTTTAAAACTAGTGTTAATTCTGTTAGGTTTGATAATGGTGTTGTTGTTATGCAAGGAAATGTCCATATATTTTAGAGACGCAAAGTGAAGTATGCCGGAGTGAAAGATCTGGTTGGTGAGTGTGATGGGAGGTTTCGTTATAGAATTCTCTCTACTTCTAGATATTGTATTAGTTTACTAGAGATACCATAACAAAGTACCATAAACTGGGTAGCTTTAAAACTGTGATTTTAAAACCAGAAATGTGTTGCCTCACAGTTCTGGAGCCTGAAATTCCAAGGTCAAGATGTCATTGGGTTGGGTTCCTTTTGAGGACTGTGAGGGAGAATCCGTTCCAGGCCTTACTGCTTAGCTGTGGATGTCTGTCTTTTCCCTGTGTCTTTTCATGTCATCCTCCTTGTGTTCATCCTCCTTGTCTTTGCATGTCATCCTCAACTGTGTTCACAGTTCCTCTGCTTGTAAAGAGACCATTAGGATGGATTAGGACCTACCCTAATGACCTTTTTTTAACTTGATCGCCTTTATAAAGGTCCTAGCTCCAAAAATCATTGTATTCTGTGGTACTGGGAGTTAGGGCTTCAACATGTGAATTTTAGGGGAACACAATTCAATCCATAACTGGCATGTTTGAGAAGTTTCATAATGTGACATTTTAAAGATTTGCCTCAAAATGCATGCAGTAAACATTTCTTAAGCCCAGTGCCTGGACTGTGCTGGATATTGAGTGTGTGAAGATGCATAAGACATGGTTTCTGCCCACTAACCCATGGTTTAATCAAATATAGGGATCTAACTTTGTGAATGTGTATGTGTTTACTTATTGCTTCCATTGAGGTGTGTGTCCCTGGAGGCACAATCAGGGTCCTGACACATGGACAGCTTAATGTCCTACAAGAGACACCTGGAGCCCGGGCGCGGTGGCTCAAGCCTGTAATCCTAGCACTTTGGGAGGTGGAGGGGTGTGAATCACCAAGGTGAAGAGTTCAAGACCAGCCTGGCACACAGTGAAATCCCGACTCTACTGAAGACAGAAAACTTAGCTGGGCATGGTGGCGTGCACCTCTAGTCCCAGTGACTTGGGAGGCTGAGGCTGGAGAATTGCTGGAACCCGGGGTGCAGAGGTTGCAGTGAGCTGAGATTGTGTCACTGCATTCCAGCCTGGGTGACAGAGTAAGACCTTGTCTTAAAGAAAAAAAAAAGACACATGGAAGGGCTCCCTTCCCCTGAGCTCCCGTAAGCATTGGTTAAGAGAATGGAAGGATGTAATGTTCACCTAGTCCATTCTCCTCATTTCACAGATGAAGCAATTGAGGCTCAGAAGTGCTAAAGTCATTTGCTGATTTGTATTAGTGCCAAGGCATCCTTCAGGGTGGCTTCCATTCCAGCCTGCTGACCAAACAGTACATTATTTTGTTTTCTTTGCCACAGACTCATGCTTTTCACCTGGGAAGGAACCCCCAAGCCCCATTATGAGAAGTCACTGTGGGAAAGAGCCTTGATAAAAAATTGACATTCTCTGTCAAGATACTTGGATCATAAATACAAAAAAAAAAAAAAAAAAGATGTTTTGGGGATTAAAGTTTACTCCTGAGGACATTTATCCTTAGAGTGAAGTTGGATTTAATACATTCCAAAGGAGTTTACCCACTTCTTGGCTACTTTCTCTGTCTCGTACCACTTTCTCTTTGTCCCTTCTAGAAATAGTGTTAGGTCGTAGAGATATGACCCTGCAGCCGTAAGAATACAAACAACCATTTTTTCTTCTTTCTTGGTGCTTCTGCTGCCCACAGGACAGGAACTGTAGCAGAAAGGGACGCTCTGATGAAACTTTGCTGGCTGGCAGGTTGGCGCCATGGCAACTAGGCTGCCTCTCTGCGACTGTTTCTGCTTCCTCCCTCTCTGGACCCGTTGTACCTATGTGCTCAAACTGGAAACTGCCTTCTCCCTGCCTCCATTTCTGTTTTAACTCCTTAGAACTAAGGCTACTTGAGATATCTGTTCATGGTTTGCTATTATTCCTTTCTTCCTCCCTTTGAACCTGTTTGATTTAGAGCCAGAGCTGAGGCTATGGCATATGTGATAGCTGATGAGTCATATGAAGCCCATTAAAAACAAAAGCTGATTATCACAGGAGGGGAGCCATTATTTATTTGCACTGTCTATGCAACAGCACGTTTTCTTGTACACTTCTGGTGTTACTGCAGCATGGCTGGGACCCTGACCTCTTAGCTGAGGATCCATGGTGTAGGCTAGGGGGCAGGTAGGGGAAGTGGGTGATGAACGACATGGGGCACTGATTGAGAGATAAGCTAGCTTTGCTGCTACTTCTCTGGAGGCAGAAGCTGCTTTGCTCAAACACGGTTATAAATCATCGTTTCAACAGCTGAGAGCATCCATTTTTTGTTGTTTTTCTTGTTTTATACTCTGGCTTCCTTTCTTGATGACATAATCTAAGCTGGAATCCTTTAGCTGTCCTTTAGCTAGATGGTAAATCCAGCAAATAGCTAGATGGTAAATCTTTTCATCCAGCAAATAGTGAATGGATCCACCATTTTCATACGGAGAAGGTCCAGACCACTTCAAGTGTGTACCTCTGTGCTGTGGCAACTGAGCCAGCTTGTGGACCATCACTGCCTGAAAAAACTCCTTCCTAGTGTTTTTCTTGGATCTCTTGGTGCTGCTTATATTTTTGTTCTCTCTTCACTCTAAATGTCCGTCTCTTTTTTCCCATAGCCTCAGGAAATACAATCATGTTGATGACACTAGAATTCATAGCTATCTTCTTCTTAGCTATGAATTCTAGTGTCATCAACATGGTCTGTTTTCCAAATGCCAGTTAAACACAACTTACTTGATGTCCCTCAGACATGAGAGGCATTTAACTGGTCGTGTACTGTACAGTATAATGTGGTTGTTGAGAGTGTGTCTGAGTTCAGATCTTGGTTCTGCCACTTCTGGCTATGTGACCTTGGGCAAATTTATTAGCCTTTCTGTGCATTGTTTTTTTGTTTTTTTTTTTTTCATCTGCATATTAGGGACCTTATATGGTTGTTGTGAAGAATAAATGAGTTGGTACTTGAAAGGATTTTAAAAAGTGCTCAGTGGTAGTTACAATAATTATCACCTTCTCAAACCATCTTTTTCTTTTTTGGTTAACGATACACCATTTATTTACCAAAGCAAAAGTTTTGGTTCTCTTTAATTTCTGTACTAGTCTGTTAAGAAGTTATGTTGATTTCCATCTTCTAAGTATATCTCAAATTAATCCCTTCTTCTTCATCCCTACCGTCACTGACACAATTCAAACCCTCAAAATCTCTCTCCATATGTCCTAGCCAGTTCAAACTGTTATATCAAAGTACCATAGACTGGGTAGCTTACAAACAACAGAAACTTATTTCTCACTGTTCTAGAGGCTGAAAGTCTGAGATCAGGGTGGCAGCATGCTAGGATTTTGGTGAGAGCTCTCTTCCAGGTTGCAGACACTGGACTTTGCACTGTATTCTCACAAGGCAGAAAGACAGCTCACTGGCCTCTTCTTAGAGGTGCACTAATCCCCTTCATGAAGGACCTATCCTCCAAATCTAGTTACTTCCCACGGACCTACCTCCTTAGACCATCACGTTGGGAATTAGATTTCAACATACAAATTTTGGGGAGACACAAACATTCAGTTGGTTACATTAGAGCCTCCTGTTGCTCTATGTGCATTCTCCATGTGGCTGCCATAGAGATCTTTCTAAGGCACACATCTCATGCTCCTTTCCTGCGTAAAAAGCCTGTGCTGGCCTTCCCTTGCCCAGAGGGTGACACACAAACTTTTTAGTACCATGTCACAGTCCTTTTAGTCCTAGGTCTCAAACAGTTTCCCATGTTTTCAGCTTCTGTTCTAGACACATTCTCCCTGACCTCCATGGACCCCTCCAGCCATGTCCACTGCTGAGGTCCTTTAATGCATTTTAAGTAACCTTAGCCTCTTACACCTTTGTAAGTGCAAACCCTCAAATCCTTACCCACCTGCATCAGTCAGCCCAAGACATGTTCCTTTCTGATGGATTTAAACCTGGTCTATTACTATAATAATAATAATAATAAAAAATATTGAGACGGAGTCTTGCTCTTTCACGAGGCTGGAGTACATTGGCACAATCTTGGCTCACTGCAACCTCGGCCTCCCAGGTTTGAGTGATTCTCCTGCCTCAGCTTCCTGAGTAGCTGGGACTACAGACGGGTGCCACC